AAACGATAAATGAGGAGTGGGGGGGGGGGAAATTTGAGGAGAACCAGGCCTCGAGGAGAGTCGAGTGCGAATTATGGGATGGGAGAATAAAGGAGAGTCCACTGTATATGTTGCTAATATACCTAGATTAACTTTTGACAGCTTTCGATATGCTTCTTCAGAGAATTGTGCTTTTCAATTAATTGGGAATCCTTTACTTATGATTGCAGTTTGAACGTAAAGTTGCAGAATTGGCGGTCAGTCCGGTAATGACGGAGCATTGTCAGAATTATTTTGAGAATCTCCTCAAGGACCATAAGGCATATCAGGCTCGACTGTCGGAGAATATTACTAAGGCTACATACCATTGGAATTTAGGCCTCTACAACCTTTATTACAAGTTCACTATCGCCAGGCAATTGATAGGAACATTAGAGAGGAAAGTTAGCGATTGTCATAGCGTTCGGCTTACAAAGAACGAAATAAATTCCTACAGGTGTCTGATAGGCGTATGTATTTGTACGATAAAACGGTTTTCTGATAAAATCTTGATAAAATCCTGGGCAAATTCATCTTAGGAAGCCTCTTTCATTATTTGGCTGACGTGTGGCATCATTCTGAAAGAAATGTTTGAATTTTTCAGATCGCACAGGAGGCGGAGATGCTTAAAAACCAAATTGTTGAAAGCATTTACAAACATATGACAAGTCTGACAGAGGTGAAAGACAGCTCCCTGATAAGCTTGCACCAATCCATCAACGGCAGCCTCATTCCACCTGTCTTCGACGAAGCTGCGATGGATAAATGGTTGGCGGTAAGTCTCTTATAAATGTCGAAAAGTCATGAAAGCTTGCTTTTTAAATGGGGATTATGACAGAAATATTTTTGCTATTGCAGTTGCACTGCCCGGAAGGATCATAAAACACCAGTTCGTCATGCATCATCAAGTGGCATCAAGTATGCGATGATAGCCATATTGAATGAATTCTGTATGGAATTGAATAATAAACGTGGATAAACATGAAAACATGATTGCTGTACCTGAATTTTTTGCGCGTCAATTATATTTCAGAAAACGTAGAAAAATAGGAGGAAAGTTTTCGAGTTCCGAAGTGTAGAATCAAATGTGCGCCAAATAATTTTTCCAAGCTCATAATCTATGTGACTACGAAAAGAGTCAATCATTTTCAAGAAATATATATCTCAGAAAACGTAAAAAAAGCGGAATGTTTTCAAGTTCCGAAGTGTAGAATCAAATGCGCATCAAATAATTTTTCCAAGATCATCATCTATGTGACTACGAAAAGAGTCAGTCAACGGAATATTCCTTCTACTTCCTGAAGTCACTCCAACGATAGAACAATCATTTTCAAGAAATATCTATCTCAGAAAACGTAAAAAAATGGGCGGAAAGTTTTCAAGTTCCGAAGTGTAGAATCAAATGCGCGTCAAATAGTTTTTTCAAGGTTATAATTTATATGTGACTAGGAACTGAGTCATTCAACGCAATATTCCTTAGACTTGTAGAAATTCGTAAATCGGTTATGACCGACATTTCACATAAATCCACCGGGCTGAGGCCACGTATCACATTAACTTGCCATCTACACGGTGTAGTAGATCCAAACAAATTCATCGAAATGAAGATATTGATTGTTCTCTGCGGTCTTCTACCGTTGGTAAGTCTAACAATTTTCTCGAAATCTTCCATAACTTTCTTTCAAACGATGAACCGGAGTCAATTTCACATTATGATCCCTGTAATGTTAGTTTCAGGTAGCTGTTTCTTCCACGGTGGATTCGATGCCAGTTTCCGTTTTGAATTACCTAAACCACGCTTCTGAGATCGGAGAAATTATCCATAATATATCCACATTAATATTTTTAGTGGATCGTCAGGCTTTATTACTGGTTCAGAACATCTATCAAAACGTCACCCAAGTGAATTCAAGTTACGTATCTGGAATAGCTCCGAATTTTAAGGAAGAGGTAATAGGAACATCTTTTTTTTTGTCAATTAATATCCGAAGTTTATGCTCAAACAAAATTTCGCCTTCAGATATAAATTTATGCCTGAATATAAATTGACGACGAATTAATTCTCCTGAACTGAATTTTTATGTGTTCAATGAAATCAGAGTCAACGAAAATCTGAAAAAATTACAATGCCCATTTTCAACTATATTGGATGCATTCGAAATTTTTATTTCGTTCGTACTTGTACTGATCAACTACCAGAAATATCTAGGAACTTGATTCGATCCAAGTCTCCGCGTTTAACCCTCTGAATAGGGAAAGTCTCGAATCGTCTAGGTGTGAGTGGAGTGGGGAGGCCCTCAAGGTCATAGGGCGCAATAAGAAAGGCCCAGCTGCGCATGCGCACTACCACACACTCGTGGAGAGTGGGGTACTGCTAGCCTGTTCAACGGGTTAATCTCTAAAAATCACATTTCGGAACGAAATGAAATCAACTTTTTGCCTTCTATTGCCACTTTTTTTGTCGTTTTATCAGAATTTCCTGTTAATTAAAAGTTAAAACGTTCCTCTGAATTAAAAATCCATTTTTCTTTTCAAAAACGGCAAAATACATGTACCGCAGCCGTGCTCATTCAGCCAGTTCAGGAGGGTGAAATTCCAAAATAAAAAACTTAAATTTCGATCCCTACCTTTTTAATGGTCGCCTGACCTTTGATTTTCCGGTTTTGAAAGTAGATTTTTTTTACAAAAGTAAAACTTTTCAACATACAATTTCTCACTGATTCGCCTCTTAGATGATAAAATTCATGTTCAAACATAAGTTTATCGCCAGTCATCAATTTCCGTCATCTATTCCTAAGTGTAACTACTTTTTCGCAACATACCTTAGCTATCGTGTATGCCTGGAGGGAAGTTGTAAAATGAGATAAACGGGTTCTGTTGTGACATTATGTTACATTAAGTTTTTCGTCAGGGTTTTTACATTTTTCGATTTCTAGTTTCAAGTTTTTTAAATTTTCTCCATCTTTATATTATTATTTAAGATGTTGTATTTATTTAGTAGCTTTGGAAATAAATGCCCCGCAGTACATATCGTAAATCTCGATCGTTTTTACTTACATTTCCAATAAAAAAATTGGAAATAAAGCGAGCACACATTGCACCATTGTATTTCAAAGAAGTATATTCCGATACGAGTGCGCAAAACTGTTTTTCGACCGGGTTAAACGTGCAGAGCGTGCGTAAAATTTCACTTTTCGTACAAGTGATGAAAACGCGTTTTTCGCGCGAAGCAAGCAGTTTTATGAGGCTCTCTTAAATTTTCGAGCTCGCCTAAAATAGTACATTGTCATTCGGTGATAAAATCCTCGCCTTCAGCTCAGATTACAAAGTCACATTTTTCATATTTGACATAATATGTTATGTCACTCGCCCGGAAAGGCCGCGATTTTAATCTCACTGCGTTCGGTTACATAGATCGCGATTTTCGGGCCGATCGACATAAAATTTGGTTTGTCACTCGGCCAAAAAAATACTTTTATCGCCGTGTGACGTATAATGTTTTATGTCATTGGGCCCGCAACCCGCGATCCAATCGAGCGAAACGAGCCCATAAAAAAAAAACTTTCATAACAGTATCAAGTAAAGGATTATGATCCTCTTGATCTCTTGTAACCCATGCCACGAGTATGGCCCTAGCGGCCACCGAGAGAAACGAGGTTATAATCACGGTTTATCGGGCCTAGTATCATAAAACTCTTTTCCATACTGATCTTCACTTTTCATCGTCCGGGAATTGGTATTGGCCCTTCCCCAAACTCGTAAAAGTGAAAATCACTACGGAAAAAAGTGGTTCACGGCTAGGGCCCCGGGGTTTTTTTACTCGCATGGTTGGCCAGTCCTCGCCTTCGGCTCGGATGCCAACTGCACGCGGGTAAAAAACCCCATGGCACTCGCCCTGAAATACACTATTTCTCCGCTTGCCCTAGTTTGCCGCTTCGTTACATATGTTACTAACATATCTAGATCAACTTTTGACAGCTAACCAATGCTGGGAAAATCTCGGCAAAAAGCATGAGTATCATTCTTCTCAGAATTTTCTTTTTCAAATAATTACGTGTCCTTAAATTATTATTTCAGTATAAAGGTAGAGCTTCGGAATTCGCTGAAGACACAATATTAAACGAAGATTGTTCAGAATATCTTCGGAATCTCTTCAACGACCATGATAAACATCAGGCAGATCTGTCGGAGTATATTGATAAGACTGTAAAAAATTTGGAGACTGGCTTGCACGGCCTTTATCAGTACTTCGCTGCTGCTAGAAAATTGTTAGCGGATTTAGAGGAGAAAGCTCGTGCTTGTCATGTTCCTCTTCTGAAAAGTGACACAAATAGCTCCTACATTTGTATAAAGGCTGTATGTACAATTCCATTTGTTATCAGTTCAATGACATTCTCTTGTAATACATCGAAATTTAAGGAACTTCCGCAGTAAATTTTGGGGCTATCTAGTGGGAGAAAATATCAAAGATTCCGACACTCCGCTGCATCCTTTGAAAAAAAAATAATAAAATGACGAAAAGTTCATGGGTGGATTGAAATTTCGTCGTTTAGGTTTTTTTATACTTCTTATTCATGATTAATCAATTTGAAATGATTTTTATTCCAAAATATTGTTTATCCGAATTTTTTAACAAGTAAAAATTTTCATGAGAGATTTGACAACCACGCATGTTTGTTCGACGCAGTTGGTATTCTTGTCTCCCGATAAAATCGTATACTGTACTATAGAATCGATAGTATATGCCTTGGCTGAGTTCACACGGTGGCCTGCGTCGCGCGCACTTTAACCTCCCCCAACGTTGCCATGTTCAGCCATCAGTTTACTCTAACGTAACTAAAATCCCAAACTATGCCATACATTTTCAATAATTACAAATAATCCCTGTGGTGACGACTAATGAAATTGTGGGGATATGTTCCTGAAATATATACAGTTCTATTCGTGAAGCGTTTGGATTTTTATTCCTTTGTCGATTATTTTTTTGTGATTTTTGAAAAAGTGGTGCCATAAAACTCTGTTAATGACACATTTTTCATATTCTCTGTTTCAATGTTTTGGGACTTCGGAAGGATATTTGTGATCACTCAAAGAATATATTCTCAAAATTTCTGCTCTGCAGTCCATTTCGTTCTCCCATTACACTCCCATACACTTACTGCGGAAGTTCCTTAAACGAAAAATGGTGTTTTGGTGAAATCATAGGCAAAACTATATGGAGGAGCTTCTCTCATGATTTGATTACAAATCCAATGTTGTTCCGATCCTGAGAGGCATCATTCTCAAAAAATCGTTGAATTTTCCAGCTCAAAACGAAGGCTGTGCAACTTGAAGAGGTAATTCGTCAACGCCTTTTATATGAGGCCAGAAATATTGCTGATGCCGGAACGGGCGACCTGACAGACTTGAGCCGATTATTGAATACCAGAGAAATACCAAATTTCTATCAGAGAGCAGGGATCGAGAGCGAGTTAATGGCAAGGCTCTTATCCTATTTTACTAAAGATGAAAGAAACGTGAAGTTGTTTTATATCGAAATATCTCGAAACTGCCTGACCGCTAATCCTCAATTTTTATTGGTCAATGAGTCACGTGAAGTAGTCGCTGAAAAAAACCCTGGTATTTTCAAATTCTTCAAATGGCGAAATTTTTTTCTGCGTCATATTTTTCATTTTTTCATGCGTGAAGTTTTTCTTTATATCAAAACATATCTAAATTGCCTAATTGTTGACCATGAGAAAAAAACATAGTATTTCTAAATTTTTTTAACACACAAATTATTCTTCACTTCCCAAATTTTAATTTTCTCATATTTATCATACGCACAAATGATCAATTCTTGCTTCTCAGATTTTCATACATAAATTCTAAACTCTACAAAATTCATGAAAATTCTTCAGTTTCCCAAATAATTCGAAGAAAGATCTTTGAAGAGCTACGGTTATCTGGAAAACTGGAATTTTTCGAAGAATTCAAGACATTTTTTCAGTTTTCTGGGAAATTAATTCATAACCCTCCCCTCATTTTTCAACAATTACAGATTTTAATCAGATTATTTTAAAAAGTAAAAAAAAGGATTAATCGAAAATTAAAAATTATTCATTGATGTTTCACTCTTCATTCTCTTAATTCTCTTTAAATCATTATCAATATTTATAAAACATCTATGAGTATATGAAATTTAATAAATTCGATTTCTTCATTTTCACAACAAAAAGATGAGCGCGCGCGCAAGCGCGCGCACAGATCTAGTGGATGTAGAAGAGTCCCAGATTTTCTCGACAGGGGGTAGAAACTTTTCTGACGAGTGTGGAGGAATGCACTCGCACTAACAAATTTCTAACATGAGTTAGAAATTTTTTTTTCGGCCGAGTGATGGAATAATGTATTTCATCACTCGTGCGTAAAGTGAAATTTTACGCACGCTCCGCTCGTGGGAAAAATGTTCTTTAGGTCTTGGGAGGCTAGCACTCGTCTTCGGCGAGCGCTGCATACCCGCAACAAGATTTTTTGGCGCCTTATGTCATCAATAACAAAACTTAGATATCTTTCGAAAAAGAAACATTTTCATATTTTACCGAAAAGAATTATCATTATTTCGAATGACCGGTTTTTCTGTTTTCCCAATTTTTTTATATACTATACTTTGTATACACTGTTGCATTATTTTTTTTTCTGTTGCAGCTCTATTGTCCACCTTGGGTGCCCGTGAAATAGGATGGCACTTTTATTGACCCTTCGTTAGTCGCGTCTACTCTACGGCACCAGTGAAATTCTATTTTTTCGTATAACCTCCGAAAAAACTTATTAAAAAATATGAAAAAATTTGTATGCTTCACGGATTTTATCCAAAAACATATTCCGCCATTTCTAACCACAGCCAAAGCACCCGACTAGAGAAAATTCACTCCCATTCTAACTGGAAATAAAAAATACGGCGCCGTGCCGCGACTGATCTTGTCATGGAAATATTTAACACAGTGTTGCCACAGTTGTAGCTGCCGGGAGATCAGCTAGTCCACTCTCCGAATGAATTGTGGCAACGGCGCGCTCAGATTCACATTACGGCGTGGCGCCGCGATGCGAGTACTTAACCACGTCCGGCAGTTTCACGCGAGTAACGAAGGGTTAAATGATTATATTAAGGGTCAGTTTTGGGTTTAGTTAACCACGGTTAGACCACGGTTAAAGTTAAGTCATCTCCGGGTTAACATCCCCGATTGGTTGGGTTCAGTGGTGGCGGATATTAACTCAACTTTCACCACGGGTCAACCCCGGTTAAAGTAGCTCTACCCTTCGACGGGGTTACGCTGTACTTTTGAACCAAAACGATAATTAAATTGAGAAAAAAATGAGAATTCCGAATCTAATCGAGTTTTCTGCAATTTTTTTGCAGTTTTTAATAATCTTTGAATTTACCGTAAGGGTAGAGCTACTTTAACTTGAACCAAAAACTGTCCCCAAGCATATCCAAGTAGTTCGGATAATTTTTGACGTGGATACGTCTATGGTTTCAATATGGGGCGTCATTTTGGGAAACGATCCTTATGTGCAGCGCCATCTATCGGAATTCTAGAAAATTCTAGACATTCGAGGTAATTCGAGAAGTTTCTTGAACTTTGTAAAAATTCAAGGAGTTTCTAGAAATTTCAAAGAAATTCAGGGAGTTTGTAGAAAATTCGAGGGAATTCAATGAGTTTCTAGAAAATTCGAGAGAATTCAAGGAGTTTCCAGAAAATTCGATAGAATGCAACGAGTTTTTAGGAAATTCGAGAAAGAGGAAAAGACCATGGACGTATCCGCGTACAATTACAGCTGTAACGAAGATACAGCCGCCAGCAATTTTTGTTTGGGGGGGGGAGAAACTTTTCAGAATTTATAGAACAACTCGAGAGTATAATTGCACAATTTTTGGCGCAATATCATACCTAGTTTACCAACATTTTTTCGAGAAACCAATTTTTGAAAAATGATATTTCAGACATTGCGTCCGTAAGAGTTGTGTACTTTCCCCTCGGATCCAATCGTTCAGTCAGAGGGCTTTCTGATTATATATGTAGCAAAATAAAGTTATTTACATTTTGTGGTTTTGGCGGTGTCATTGGGGTATGTTCATTCGAGAATCAGGTAACATCTGTCGATAGGCATGATAGGGTTATCACCAGAAGGTGTTCTCACTCCTCCAACAATCATTCTTGTGGCAGTTATTCAATGTAATATATTAAAGAAATTGGAAGTTGGAAAATTGATGCTTTTTCTTTTACGAACTATCCCTTCTTTCTATTCAATTGGCTTTTGAAAAATCCAGTGTAATAATTTTTTAAGTCTCAATGCCGCTTATCAAGTAATGCAATATGATATCTATGTATATTTTTTTATGTACTGTAATTTTTTGCTCACAGTAATTGTAAAGAAACAGAAATTCTTTTCTTACTGTAATAAAACAATACACAGTTCTAAAAAAATGTTTATATACAATAATATTCATGTATATATTATATAATATATACTATATATGGTATATAATACATGCGATATACACTATATGCATACATTTTTTTATAATTTTTTTTCAACTGTAAAAAAATTAATATTGGTGTGTAAAAAAAATAAATATAGGATAGTGGAAAAACGCAATTCTGAGCCATCCATCTGTCTATAGGGAAGGCAAATTTCCTCAGAAATCGAATGGAATAGGTTTTAAGGCTCTATCTCTCATAGTTTCCGAGATTATCGCGAAAAACGAAAGTGCCAAGAAAAATTAATTTAATTCATCTTGCAGAGGGTGTAGGAAGTGGAAAAACGCAATTCTGAGCCGTCGATCTGCCTATACGGAACCCAAATTTCCTCAGGAATCGAATGGAATAGGTTTTAAGGCTCTATCTCTCATAGTTTCCGAGATAATCGCGAAAAACGAAAATGCCAAAAAAAATTAATTTAATTCATCTTGTATAGGGTGTAGGAAGTGGAAAAACGCAATTCTGAGCCGTCCATCTGCCTATACGGAACCCAAATTTCCTCAGGAATCGAATGGAATAGGTTTTAAGGCTCTATCTCTCATAGTTTCCGAGATAATCGCGAAAAACGAAATCGCCAAAAAAAATTAATTTAATTTTGTTTGTATCGGGTGTAGGAAGTGGAAAAACGCAATTCTGAGCCGTCCATCTGCCTATACGGAACCCAAATTTCCTCAGGAATCGAATGGAATAGGTTTTAAGGCTCTATCTCTCATAGTTTCCGAGATAATCGCGAAAAACGAAAATGCCAAAAAAAATTAATTTAATTCATCTTGTATAGGGTGTAGGAAGTGGAAAAACGCAATTCTGAGCCGTCCATCTGCCTATACGGAACCCAAATTTCCTCAGGAATCGAATGGAATAGGTTTTAAGGCTCTATCTCTCATAGTTTCCGAGATAATCGCGAAAAACGAAAATGCCAAAAAAAATTAATTTAATTCATCTTGTATAGGGTGTAGGAAGTGGAAAAACGCAATTCTGAGCCGTCCATCTGCCTATACGGAACCCAAATTTCCTCAGGAATCGAATGGAATAGGTTTTAAGGCTCTATCTCTCATAGTTTCCGAGATAATCGCGAAAAACGAAAATGCCAAAAAAAATTAATTTAATTCATCTTGTATAGGGTGTAGGAAGTGGAAAAACGCAATTCTGAGCCGTCCATCTGCCTATACGGAACCCAAATTTCCTCAGGAATCGAATGGAATAGGTTTTAAGGCTCTATCTCTCATAGTTTCCGAGATAATCGCGAAAAACGAAAATGCCAAAAAAAATTAATTTAATTCATCTTGTATAGGGTGTAGGAAGTGGAAAAACGCAATTCTGAGCCGTCCATCTGCCTATACGGAACCCAAATTTCCTCAGGAATCGAATGGAATAGGTTTTAAGGCTCTATCTCTCATAGTTTCCGAGATAATCGCGAAAAACGAAAATGCCAAAAAAAATTAATTTAATTCATCTTGTATAGGGTGTAGGAAGTGGAAAAACGCAATTCTGAGCCGTCCATCTGCCTATACGGAACCCAAATTTCCTCAGGAATCGAATGGAATAGGTTTTAAGGCTCTATCTCTCATAGTTTCCGAGATAATCGCGAAAAACGAAAATGCCAAAAAAAATTAATTTAATTCATCTTGTATAGGGTGTAGGAAGTGGAAAAACGCAATTCTGAGCCGTCCATCTGCCTATACGGAACCCAAATTTCCTCAGGAATCGAATGGAATAGGTTTTAAGGCTCTATCTCTCATAGTTTCCGAGATAATCGCGAAAAACGAAAATGCCAAAAAAAATTAATTTAATTCATCTTGTATAGGGTGTAGGAAGTGGAAAAACGCAATTCTGAGCCGTCCATCTGCCTATACGGAACCCAAATTTCCTCAGGAATCGAATGGAATAGGTTTTAAGGCTCTATCTCTCATAGTTTCCGAGATAATCGCGAAAAACGAAAATGCCAAAAAAAATTAATTTAATTCATCTTGTATAGGGTGTAGGAAGTGGAAAAACGCAATTCTGAGCCGTCCATCTGCCTATACGGAACCCAAATTTCCTCAGGAATCGAATGGAATAGGTTTTAAGGCTCTATCTCTCATAGTTTCCGAGATAATCGCGAAAAACGAAAATGCCAAAAAAAATTAATTTAATTCATCTTGTATAGGGTGTAGGAAGTGGAAAAACGCAATTCTGAGCCGTCCATCTGCCTATACGGAACCCAAATTTCCTCAGGAATCGAATGGAATAGGTTTTAAGGCTCTATCTCTCATAGTTTCCGAGATAATCGCGAAAAACGAAAATGCCAAAAAAAATTAATTTAATTCATCTTGTATAGGGTGTAGGAAGTGGAAAAACGCAATTCTGAGCCGTCCATCTGCCTATACGGAACCCAAATTTCCTCAGGAATCGAATGGAATAGGTTTTAAGGCTCTATCTCTCATAGTTTCCGAGATAATCGCGAAAAACGAAAATGCCAAAAAAAATTAATTTAATTCATCTTGTATAGGGTGTAGGAAGTGGAAAAACGCAATTCTGAGCCGTCCATCTGCCTATACGGAACCCAAATTTCCTCAGGAATCGAATGGAATAGGTTTTAAGGCTCTATCTCTCATAGTTTCCGAGATAATCGCGAAAAACGAAAATGCCAAAAAAAATTAATTTAATTCATCTTGTATAGGGTGTAGGAAGTGGAAAAACGCAATTCTGAGCCGTCCATCTGCCTATACGGAACCCAAATTTCCTCAGGAATCGAATGGAATAGGTTTTAAGGCTCTATCTCTCATAGTTTCCGAGATAATCGCGAAAAACGAAAATGCCAAAAAAAATTAATTTAATTCATCTTGTATAGGGTGTAGGAAGTGGAAAAACGCAATTCTGAGCCGTCCATCTGCCTATACGGAACCCAAATTTCCTCAGGAATCGAATGGAATAGGTTTTAAGGCTCTATCTCTCATAGTTTCCGAGATAATCGCGAAAAACGAAAATGCCAAAAAAAATTAATTTAATTCATCTTGTATAGGGTGTAGGAAGTGGAAAAACGCAATTCTGAGCCGTCCATCTGCCTATACGGAACCCAAATTTCCTCAGGAATCGAATGGAATAGGTTTTAAGGCTCTATCTCTCATAGTTTCCGAGATAATCGCGAAAAACGAAAATGCCAAAAAAAATTAATTTAATTCATCTTGTATAGGGTGTAGGAAGTGGAAAAACGCAATTCTGAGCCGTCCATCTGCCTATACGGAACCCAAATTTCCTCAGGAATCGAATGGAATAGGTTTTAAGGCTCTATCTCTCATAGTTTCCGAGATAATCGCGAAAAACGAAAATGCCAAAAAAAATTAATTTAATTCATCTTGTATAGGGTGTAGGAAGTGGAAAAACGCAATTCTGAGCCGTCCATCTGCCTATACGGAACCCAAATTTCCTCAGGAATCGAATGGAATAGGTTTTAAGGCTCTATCTCTCATAGTTTCCGAGATAATCGCGAAAAACGAAAATGCCAAAAAAAATTAATTTAATTCATCTTGTATAGGGTGTGGGAAATGGAAAAGCGCAATTCTGAGCCGTCGATCTGCCTATAGGGAACCCAAATTTCCTCAGGAATCGAATGGAATAGGTATTAAGGCGCCACGAAATTGGCGATTTGCAGGTCCCTCGACACGAAAATTAATATACACATCTCGCCATGGAAAACATATCACCCTCCCTCACGTGCGTGCCATCCTCGCCTTCGGCTCGGAAGGCAATTTTGCATGTGGGGGACGGTGATCTGTTTTCCAAGACTCGGGCATGTAATGTACTATTTCTTACTGCGTTGTGATTTTCATGACAGTTTCTTCCATTTTTTACAGAGATTAAGGGATGACTGAGGGTTAATTTATGGGTAGTTTAGTTCTCCGTCAATTTCAATTAGGAGGGGAGAGACAAATTTTTAATTCGCGGGCGAATGGTGAAAAGTCACTGTGCGCCGAGAAGAAAATTATTTTTCTCACTGGCCCATGACTTTTGTCGTAGTTTGTATTTTTTTGTTACAGAGATTAAGGGATGCAACGGGGATCGATTGATGGGGAATTAACTTTTCCATCACACCGTTTATGTTTCATTCCTTAATATTAATTAGCCAGCAAATGAATCACCTGAAAAACATTAAGAACATGTTGAGGACGAGGAGGGCGTAAATTCCCCTCCGAAAGTATACCTGTAACAGCGAGACTGCTACTGCCGAGTTACCGGCACAGACAGCTCGCCCAGCCGTCAGATTCGACCGTGGCGCCATCCCTCCGTTGGGGTGATACTATTTTTGGCTTGGGGTCGCCTGAACCCCGAGACTGAGCCTCTACTTTAGTCTATCCTCTTTGCTACCACAATTTATTGTTCCCGATTTACCCCCAGGAAATGCACACATCCGCCTCATTTTTTTTCTCACTAATTACCCCCAGTCATTCGATTACAAATAATGGAATTCGATTATAACGAATGTAATCCAACAATATGAACGTCAACTTTGAAGAGTAAACAAAGCCACTAATACATCAAACATCGGTTGTGTACGTGTGATATATGGTAGACGAAAGCGCTGCCCTATGGCCATAAGAGGAATTACTAACTTGTACTCTCTCCGTGTCCCACAGTCAGAACTTCTGACCGCTACAGTTCGACCTCCTTACCTACCTCTATTCTTCATGGCTACCACCATTGTAAACCCTCGCCCTCAAGTGACTCCCTCTGTCCGCCCGATTCCCAACCAATTCCCCGAAAATCACGTGACCACCGAATAAACCAATGGCAATGCCGTGTGCCGCCCTATACGTGGCACGAACGCATGAAATACTTTTTCCCAACCTTCGGTGCATCCGCCATTTTAACATACGGGACATTAACAGAAGTGTTGAGGTTTTATGTTTTAATCGTTGATACAATCCTCGTAAAAATTGAATAATTCATTTTATTAGTGGAAAAAGGTACGTAAGTTATCAATCAACAATTAATCGCGAATGAGCGCTCCGTAGAATGGGGAAAAAATTGTTGGGGAAAATGTGAGGGGAGGATGAGAAAAAAAATTGACAAAGTTTCGACGTTTCGGTTTTCTTCGGGGCCACTCAGTGTGACTCGTTGGGCTAGTGAGGTGACAGTACAACCACCCCTCGACTGTCGTGGCAACGCGAGGGCCAAATTAATTTTTTCACCGATCCCTTTGGCTTTTTAATACGCGGAAAAAATTGTTTTCGGGGGTCTTAGGGGTGCTGGTGGCTTGGGGGTATTTTTTTTGGACTTCAGGTGATTCCACCCGGTACGAGACAGACAGGTTTGCGAGAGCATTGTCATATCAATATTTTTTCACCGGATTTTACAAGTTTAAGTTTTTTTTTAGTTAGTGGGGCCTTTTTGGGACTTGGGGACGGGTTTTTTTTTCTCGGGTAGGGGGGTGGAAGTTTTTGAAGGGTGATGGGTAAATAGAATCGATTGTGTGCCACGCTATTGCCTCGTGCGTGCTCTCTCTGGTGGCAGAATGGAATCGAGATGATGACGCGGTGCTCCGAGATCATACTCACGTGGAAGTTTTGGGGATTCGGGGGTGCAGGGTTTTTTGGGACGGCTGCGGGAGGGGCGATTAATGGATTTGGTGGAAGGGAGCGGAGGGGCAGGTTTAGAATTGTTGGGGTGGAGGAACAGGTGGCGAGAATGGATAAATTCTTTTGGGGGCTTCGGGGGGGTCTCCAGGAGTTCTGAATCTTCTTGGGGTCTTCTGAAAAATCTGTCATTGGTGACTTTTGGCAATTGGGAAATTTTTTAGAGGGTTTTTGTCTCGAGAGGTTTTTACTTCTTGGTGAGGAATGGGTGACACTTCTGAATTTTTTAGGATTTTTTTAGGGCTCTGGGTTTTTGGGGCACAATCGGAGCACAATCTGTTATCCAGTTATCTAGTCTTTTTGGAGACTAGGATCTAGGTTATTTAGGATTTGTGGAGACTAGGATTTTTTATGAGTTTATTTGTCTGAAAATGATGTTTTTTGGGGAATTTTGGGGAGAGACTTGTGGTTATTTGAATGGATGCATGAATACTTTTGGGGCTTCGGGGGGGTCTCCAGGAGTTCTGGATCTTCTTGGGGTGTTCTAAAAAATCAGTGATTGGGGACTTGCACTATTTTAGACAGTTTTTTTTTGTCGTGAGAGGGACCAGAGGAGGTTTTCAAATTCTTGGGAGGTGAGGAAAGAATGACGACACGTTAAAATTTTTTAGGAATTTTTTTTAGAGTTCTGGATTTTTGGAGCACAATCGGTAGCTTCTGTTTCCCTGCAAAATTTTTCGTCTGGAGTTATTGGTTTTTTCTTGAATTCTTGATTTTTTTAGGGGCGTAGGAACAAGTGATGGGAACCTTAATTTTTATTTTGACTGTTTTTTTTGGAGTTTTTAGGATTTTTCTTTTTTTTTTTGTGTGAAAATAATTTTTAGTTTTTTGAGTCATAAGAGGTATGAGAGGAGGTTATTTGACTCTTGGAAGATGAAAAATGGGTGAGAACTTCCAATTTTTTAGATTCTCTTTATTTTTTTGAAATTTGGATCCCTGGATGGTTTTGTTCGAGAGGTCTTGGATTTTTGAGGGGTGTATGAACAAACAATGACTAAATCTGATTTGTTTTCGATTTTTTCGGGGTCTTCTGAAAGATTTCTGAATTTTGTGGATAAATTTCAGTAGAAAACGGACAGTTTGAAGATTACAAAATGTTTTTATTCTTTGAGAGGCTTTACAACTAGTTTTGGAATATTTCAAAATAGATTTTTGATATTTTAGCATTCTTTGGCGGCTTTTTCAGTATTAAGAGAACCAGAGGAATATTCTTTTTTTTTCCTTTCTGAGAAATATATAGATACATTTGGAGTTTTACTTTTTCAGGGAGATTTTTGAGTCATAATTGATGAACTTTTCTTTCTTTTTTTTCATATTTGTCGAAAAAAATTGGTGTAGGAGTGAGAATGTCTGAATTAATTTACATTCTTTGAGTTTTTTAGGGCAGTTTTGGATTTTTATTAAAACTTTTTTTACGTTTCCCGAGATTTGGCAAGATTGATGATTTCTCTTGGATAATTTTTGGGGCCATCGAACAGATGGTGATGGTAAAAAGGTGCAGGGGAAGTGTGATGACTCTTTTGGGAATTCATTTCCGATTTATTGACGCGCTATTCGATTATGATACAGGGGAAAAATTGCAGAGTTGTTGTTTTGTTCGTTCGTTCGGTTGACATTACGATCTTGGCCGAGAGCCAGGGCTATTCTTCGTGTTTGTTGGGGTGTCGCAAGGTGTGAGAAAAAAAAATTGTCATGTGAATAATGAAAAGAAGATCCTGGCGATTATTTTTTATGATTTTTTGTCAAAAATGTTTCAGTCTCTTCTACTTTTTTAATTAAAAATTAATTGCAACGAACAACCCCGGATTAATTATTCAATCTCGGCTGTTATAATGACAAGCATGAAGACAATTCCGGGAAAAAAAATTACTTCAATCTTTTTCAGTAAAAAATTGAAAATTAAGACGTCGAATTGAAAAATGGAGAGGGAAAACAATTTTAGTCTGATTATTTTGTCAATATCTCGAAAAGTGTTGGGTCTAGAGCAAAATTTCAGAAGATGTTTTTTGTAGGTCGTGAAATTCTCCACAAAAAATGTCTGTTGACATTTTTTTGTAAACCCCTTCGTTACGCGTATTTTTCGAATGTAATGGAATGCATGTGATTATTTCGTTGTTATTTATCACATAATTACTGAATTAATTGTTTTGGAGGAGCTACAGTTGATGATTAATCAATTATCGTGGATTTTCCAGGTATTTAATCAACATCAATCATGGGGAATATGTTTGCGACGTTATTCAAAGGCCTCTTCGGCAAGAAAGAAATGAGAATCCTCATGGTTGGTCTCGATGCAGCCGGTAAAACGACAATTCTGTACAAATTAAAATTAGGTGAAATCGTAACGACGATTCCCACTATAGGTGAGACTCCAAAAACATTTTTTATAAATTATTTAATCGATTTAATGAACTCAAATTTTCCAAAAAATCTTCCAAAACTCGATAAATACAATGTGATGTTTTCTTTTTAATTTTGCATTTGCCTTAAAAACGAGTGCTGCCAGAAGATAACGCCAAGAGTTTTTGTAAAAAATTAAATCTTGAACAAAAAGTGTCTCCTAACATTTTTTCATAAAACCATTTATTGCAGAAATAATTGAAATCCACGAAAATCTTAAATTTCAACTCATCAAGAAAAAACGTTTTCACATTTTGTTGAATATCTCGATAACGAGTGATTCTACGAAATAATGTGTTCAGACCTTTTTTGTAGCTGAGAAAATTTACAACAAAAATGTATTCTCACTTTTTCCTGTAAAACCATTTGTCATCGAGATAATTGCACTCTCGATAATATTGATCATTCGTTCTGTTGAATTTGTGTTGAAAAAATGAATTCGTTTGACAATTTGTTTCTATTTGATTTTCAGGCTTCAATGTAGAGACTGTGGAGTATAAAAATATTAGCTTTACTGTATGGGACGTTGGTGGTCAAGACAAAATCAGACCCCTCTGGCGACACTATTTCCAAAACACGCAAGTGAGTATTTTTCATTCCCTAAAAATTTTACAAAATTCTTCCTTCAATTTGAGAAATGAGGAGTAATTTCAATAAAAAAGCAGGGGAATTTCTGTTGAAAGCCAGCCTCTCTATGGTGACTGTTTTTCAGTTAAAAAACATTGAAGCTTTGGACAAACTTAAATTATCAGCAAACATTTTTCGATTTATCTCGAGAACTGAAGGAGATAAAGAGGTCGTCTTTTTTAAAATCAGATGTCAACTTCACTAGCTAAATGTTAACGACAATTTTCAATGCTCCATCTGTGGAACCATTTGAATTCAGTGATTGAAGTAATTGGAGGTTCAATTGGATTTTAAGCACTGTGTTTTTTAAAGATGTCAAAGTATTTTGTTTTTTTTTAAATCCTCTCGAATATTTTGCAATAATCTTCTTATTAAGGTTTTAAAAATCTAGATGTCATTTTCACTTTTGACCACTGAGGCATCGTTTTAAAAAATTTTCAAAGATAACTCATAATAAATTTTGAACCCCGGAGATAATTTTCTAAAAATCGTAAAAAATATGGTCATATTCAGAATTTTATTAGAAATTGATTTTGCGCCTAAAGATGTAATTTCCAAGAGTTTAAATAAGTCCCATGATTTATCTCCAATGAGAAAATGTTTGAATAACGCATAAATAAGTAAATAAAACTTTGGAAGTGCAAGTTTTTGATCAATATTAAGGTATTTTAGGTTTTTTTGTGGAAATCCTTTTAAACATTTTGCGAGTTAACGAGTTAACTAATTAATTCTCATAAAGATTCATAAAGCAACAAAAGAAATTGAATATTCATCATATTAACGTCTTTCAGAAAAACAATATGAAAAAAAAATATAGAGATAAAAAAATTTTCATTATTTCAGCCTCTTTCGTAAATAATATATAAATCTTCGATTTTTCAGCCCAAAAATAATTCTTGAGGAGTTCTAAAATTTTTTTCAATTTCTGGATTTCTATCAGAAATTGATTTCCCCTGAAAAACCTTCATTTTTTAAAAGTTGAAACAATTTCCATTATTCATTTCAAATGAGAGAATGTTTAAAAACGAAAAGAATTATTTGCAAAATGTCTCGCAAATGAAATCCTCAGACAATCAAATTAAGAAATTTGATGATTAAAATTAGAATATTTAATCTGGCGATGGAATATTTTCGCAAAGTGGTTTTCAATCGATTTATGGATTTTCGTAATTCGATTAAAACTCCATTGGCTGGAGCCCATTGAAAATTCATAGCCACGAATGTAATTATTGGGTTGATGCCTCCAGGGATTAATTTTCGTGGTGGACAGCAATGACAGAGAACGTATTGGGGAGGCACGCGAAGAGTTGATGCGAATGCTGGCCGAGGATGAACTCAGAGATGCTGTACTCCTAATATTCGCTAACAAACAGGTGAATAGAAATTATAAATCACTCTTTTCTCATCAGACCCTCTTCACCCGAAAAAAAATCAATCAATGAGTTTCTCTACGATTTTTTAAAATGTTTATTCCATTTGTTTAACGAAAATTGAATACGATTCGATAAATTAAAATGATCATAAGTGATTCTGTTGAGTTTATTTGTGAAATTTTCACATTTAAACGGTTTTTTGTAAAAAAAATTTGCTGTCAACAATTTTTTTTTATTAAAAACTCGATTTTTCACTTTAGTTCGATTGAAAAAAAATTGAAAGATTGTCAATAAAATTTTATTAGTGACAAATTAGTGATTTCAGAAATTTTTCAGTATGAAATGACAATTTTTAATTTTTAAGACTGAGAGACTGGTTTCTACTCGAATTTTTTAATTAAAAAATCATTTTAAAAATTGTTGATCTTGAACAAAAGAAGGAAATTGATCATTCAAAATCCTTTTTGGATTTTTTCCACTCATCAGCAATTTTCTTTCTTCAAAACTCGTGAAATTAAATTTTTTATGCTATCAAAAATAATTTTAAGATGAAAAAAAAGTCGTTCAACTCCAAATGAACAAAACGAATGAGTTATCGAATAGTTCCTTCATCTAAAATCAACAATTATCAATTTCTCTCGTGCCGATAATTTTTTTTCTCCGCTAAAAATGAAAAATACATCTTATTGGTTAAAAAATTTATTTTCTCAGGAGAGAAAAACGTTGATTTCTTCCTAAAATAATTTTTTAAAATTGTCAAAAAATCGTGTGAAACAATCGTATGAATGGATGATTGAGCAATTATTATTTTCAATTTTTCAGGATCTCCCAAATGCAATGAACGCAGCTGAGATAACTGATAAATTGGGACTCCACTCGTTACGCAATCGTAACTGGTATATCCAAGCAACGTGTGCCACAAGCGGTGATGGCCTATACGAGGGTCTTGATTGGCTCTCAAATCAGCTTAAGAATGCAAACCGCTAATCCCCACTACGATTAATTAATTGATTCCTCCATTTTAAATCGAGATGAAAAAAAAACATGAAAAAAGTAAAAAAAACATTATCACGATCATTAAAAAAATGACAAGAAATCGATGAAATAAAACACAGGAAATCTATTTGCGAACGGCTCACACCGACCTATGCCCCCTCCGATGAAGAAAGAGTACAAAAAATCCAAGAAATTTACAACAATTTCAATAGAAACAAGATCAACAGAAACTTTAATTGAGAAAAACGTGATGAGTTCAGTTTTTCATTTTAGAAATCGTCTTATATCTCGAATACCGTGGGGTTTAGGGGAAAATACCTCGGGACCTTTTTTGTAGCTGAGAAAATTTCCGACAGAAAATGTCCAGTGGCATTTTCCCCCGGGACCACTCCCGACCGAGATAACCCCATTTAAAAACGTGACAAAACGATTTTTTACGGTTTTCTCACAGAAAAATCAATCCAAGATACTTTTTTTTCATTAGGAATTATTTAAAAGGGCGGGGGGGGAGGTTTAGTGACATCTAGGGATCCTAGGGAAATTGGGGAAAAAATTAATAAACATCGAGAAAAAATTTCAGATATGGAGAATGTGGAATTTTTGGGTTTGAAAAATAGAAAATAATGAAGAATTATTGGGAAATTGTGAGATCTTTGAGAGACACTTGTGGGTGGCATGACTGACTCTCAATATCCACAATAATTATTTTATAATTTTGTCCTTATTTCTCTTCAGTAATTTAACGAAAAATTAAGACAAATTACAAAAAAAACATTGTCCATTAAATCTTATAATTATTAATTATTATTAATTATTGTATTATTATTAGCATTATAGTTACAACTTTTTACACATGAATTTAATGATTATGCGCCACTTGGAGTGGATGAGAATAATAATTGATTATCCGGAGAATATTATGATCATTTTTTTCATTGTAATTTAAAAAAAAAAATTTTTTTTTTCTTTTTCTGATCTTTCGTGACATAAATTTGAGATGAAAATCAATTTTTTTATTGTTTTGAAATGTTTTTTTGACCTTGAGATCATACGGGAGGTGTGAGTGAACGAGAAGGAATTGAAGATTTTTTTTCGAGTTTTTCGAGTTGAAATTGAGGAAATGAACATGAGATTTTTTATTTGAAAAATTCTTTTAGACTCGAAAAATAGGAAAAAAAATCTTTTCGGGTTTGAGAATATTCTTTCGCGGTTTCTTGACCCCCGAGAACATCATGAGTCCATTTCTCATGCAGAAAAAAATTACAGAATTGAGAAGAAGAAAGATAAGAGCATTAAAAATGAGAGAAACTCATTTTTTTTGTTTTTGGATGAGAAAAAAAAATTGCACTATCGTGGAGAGTTCCCTAGGCCCTGGGGACGTTCTCAGACTCCGAGAATCATCTCCTGGGATATTCCCGATGGAACAAACTGTTCAGTGATCGATAAACTCATCAATTCATCAAACGTTGATTTTTCGTTTGGAACAAGGAGATTTTTCGCATTTTCCTGAATATTTCGATAACGAGTGGCTCTAGAGAAAAATATGTTAAGACCTTTTTTGTAGCTAAGAAAATTTCCGAAAAAAAGTTCTTCTCACACTTTTTTCTAGGACCCCTCGTTAACGAGATAATTCCATCTCAAGATGTGTCCAATTGACTTTCCACTTCATAAAACCAAAAAAATCACAAATTTTTATTTTCCTTCTCGACATCACAATCATTTTTACATTTTTCGCTGGGGACGGGTGACCTCAGTCACTCGGCATGCGCGAGGAGTTTGACAATTCAGTAAAAATCGAAAAAAAGAAATAACGTAAAGAGCAAAAATTTTAGTAGAGGAAAAAATAAAGAGACATTCCGATTTATCGACGTAAAAATCATTTGTTTTTTTTTTCTTTTCGTTTAAAGAATCATTTTTCATCGCTGAAAAATTAACGAACAATAATTCATTTTTTATCGGCTCAAGACAATTTTTAATTGATGAAAAAAGAAAGATTTTTTAAATTTTCTACTTTTTTTCGCAATTAATTGATTCATTTCCGGGGTTTTTACCCACTGGGGGCCTCAGACACCCCCAGAGTGATAGAAAATAACGCCGAGCACCTGGCGATGACTTTCAAGAGTAGAAAACGTGAAAAATAACGAAAAAAAGTGAATTAATAGACGAAAAAACGAGTGAAAACTGATAAAAGTGAGATAATTAATTAGTCCTCACTAATTATTGAATAATGAGATGGATTTACTTGAGGGGAAAGTCCCCAGGAACAAAAAAAAGTATGGAAAATTGAGTGGAAGAGAGGAGAGAACTTTCAGTTGAAAAAAAAATACGAAAAATATGAAAATATGAGAAACAATTTTTTTTTAGATACTAATTAAATTCCCCGATAAGTCCTATCCATTGATGAATGCGTCACTTCTGCGAGTGCTGAATGCGTTTTTACGAAACACATAATCCTCTTTATTAATGAAAAGAATCTAAATAAATTAAGGGATAAAGAAGAAAACGTTTCACATTATAGAAGAACTAAATGAAATGCCGTTTAATTACGTGAAAAAATGGAGTAAATAAATTCGTATTATGTATGAATGTTCAAGAATAATTTGTGAAATATATTGTAACTGTGCTTTATGTCGTTTATTTCAATATTTAGATTTTTTAAAATTAATTTTACCATTTTTTTTTCTCACTTTCTTTTCATGTAGAGAGCAGACAAAAAATGTCAACGTCCATCATCTCAGGATTTGGTGGATCTATTTTATTTCAGTTAAGCCCATTGGAGAGCCGGAGAAATTTCCGGTTTCAATCACAGGTCACGAACTCATTTTCTCCCATAAGATTTTCCGATCAATGACAGAAAAGGATTTGACGTTTCAAAACTACGGAAAAACAAGTGGGAAATTGCTCCTGTATTGGATATAGTATAGTTTTTTTGCTAATAAATTAGCAATATGCTTCCGAATGGTTATTTTGCGCATAATTTCCTTCTATCATGTACAAATCACTGTTTATTTCATTTTCTTAAATTGAATAAGATTTCCTTTCAACTAATTTTGTGAGATTTTCAACTTAGTTGAATGTTATCATCATCATTATTCTTATTCTCCCTTTCTTCTATACAACCGATTGTCGTTTTTACTGCTCTATCTCTCCCCTCAGCCCTTCGATAAAATGTTAAAAGAAAAATTTTATTTATACATACTTAAATGAATTTGAAACATCACATTTGAAGAAACTATCAGAAAGCTCACTTTCAGGGGAATTCATGAGAAATTCGGAATTTTCAACAATCATCATAAAAATTAAATCAACCAATATAGCTATCACAATCATCTTTTAACTTTAACTTAATGGCATTAAAATAAACATTTTAAGCTATGATTGAATTCATTGGAAGCATGATATTCAAAGATATCCCCGGAATTCAGATTTTTTTTAAATACAAAATTTTTGCAAATTTTCATCTTCGCACTCGGTCAAATGGACAACCAAGAAATTTTTTAAGCCATCATTCAATCAATTGAAAAAATTTTTTTTAGTTATCATGGGACAACCGATTTTCAAGGTTTTTGAATTATACTGGGTTGATATCTCTCTATATTATAAAAATCCAAATCGACTTCTGGTGATAAAAATTTGGCACTCGAAATTAAGACTCCAAAATTAAGGGTTATAAGGGTCGTGAGGGCCAGAATAAGGGCTACAAGGATCAGAATAAATCTTACAAGGGTCAGAATAACGGTCACGAGGGTTAGATTAAGGGTCACGAGGGTCAGATTAAGGGTCCAAATACGGATAACAAGGATTAGGCTAAGGGTCTAAATAAGTGTCACAAGGATTAGATTAAGGATCCCCATAAGGGTCGCAAGGTTTAGCTTAAGGATTACAAAGGTCAGATTAAGGATCATGGGGGTCAGAAACTAAGGCTCACAAGGGTCAAAATAAGGGCCTCACCATCTTTCTACATTGTAAAAATCCAAATCGACTTTTGGTGATGAGAATTTGGTGCTCGAAATTTAGACTCCAAAAATAAAGGGTCACAACAAGGGTCGCGAGGGCCAGATTAAGGGTCGCAAGGGTCAGAATAAGGGTCATGGGGGTCATATGTAGGTCGGCGAGCGGAGCGAGCAGGGGGCGTAGCCCCCTAATAACCCCAAAAATCCAAAACTTAAATTCCAACGATTAAAAAACTTCCATTCGGAAGCAAAAAACTAAATTTCCAATGTTTGAAAAAATAACGCGGCAAAATGGGCCGTCAATCATCCAATTACATCAAAAATTATTCCTGACTTTCCAATGATAACCACCGCCCCCTCCCCCCTTCGCCCCGCCCGGAATATTCGCGAGAGACCGCTTAGAAAAATTGTAGACTAAAAAAAATGAAGTAGAAAAAAAACTGAATAGAAGTTATCAGTGTTGAACTCAAAAAAGAAAATGCGAAAAATGAGGGAATAATATTTCTCGAGGTTCATGTCGCATGAATATTCAATTACTCTCTTATCTACGCACTTCACTATCGAAATATGTAAACAAAATCGTAAATTCCAATCGAATTAACCCAGAAACGACACGCCAACGATTGAAACAATATTTTTTCCTGTTACAGCGGTGGCAAAACAGTCGATAATCAATGCTTGACGTTAACAAAATTACAGGGTGTGTGAAAATATTCCAAAAATAATGTTGAAATTTTCGTTAACAGTTATTTAACATGAAAATATTGCCTTGAAACAATTTGGGTACAATGTTTTGTTTTTACAATCGCGCGGGGGCGAACCGGAAGTTGTGTATACATCATCGTAACACGAAAATCCGTGGCTTGTGGCTTGAATCATGGCGATGTGTTGATTTCAGGATGATTTATGGATCCTTTCTCATGCAGAAGCTTCGAGAAACGCGAAATATTCGCAATTCTCGATTATCGGAAACTTGAATCTTTTTTTTCCACATTCTAATATTGTTAATTCATATATCAATTTTTAGAATTTTCTACTCTTTTCAGAAATCAAGTGTGCAATGGCATTTTTTAAATAAATTGGCAATTTGCTGCTGAACGGGTTTTCTCTTTTAAATTCTTATTTCAGTATTCTCTTCTTCTATTCTTTCATGTCATAATACTATCATCAATTGAAATGTCATCATAATTTTGCGTATTATTTCGTTTTGTCAAACAATTCTACATTCAGAACCTCTCAAGACTCGAATTGGTTTTCAGTCCGGGTTTAATCGAGGTTCAATCAAGGTTTAATGAGTGTATAGCCGGGATTTAATCAGGGTTTATTCAGGATTTAGCCAGAGTTTAACCCAGGTTCTGTCAGAAGTTAGTCGGGACCATGAATCAATGTGAATAACTATTCAACATAATAAACTGGTACCTGAGTTTAATAGAGATAGAGATTTTTATATAAAAAGCTCATGACAATATTGTGTAACTTGATAAGCAATGATGCTGTTCTCACCATTTTTCAACTTGATTAAGAAGCCATTGAAATATACTTTTCAAGCCCTGATTTAATTGCTATTACTGATGATTCTTTCAGTAATCATGAAAAAACCGATTTTCTCTTTCAAATCGCATAAACAATGTGCTGTAACTCAACAACGAATTGTGCGACCCCCATCATATTCTGATAAAATCAAGAGGGTATTGTTATAAATTTTTGGAGCCATCACTAATTCCATTTTGATGACAATTTTTTGAGTGATCGTTGAAAAATCGATTTTTGGAGAAATATCAATTTTTTCGAACCTGCATGAAAAATTGAATTTTAATTGGGTCAATGCATAGAGCTTATTCAAGTCTGTAGTTATGAAACAAACAATTCATGAAATTCGAGTGATCTCAATATATTTTAGGTCTTAAAAAGGTTTTTCAATATTTTTATGTTGATTTTTACAAATTCCTAATTGTTATAAAACTTCCCAGAATGTGAAGTTTCCGACGGGTTCTTCAAACATGATGTTTCAAATTCATTCAATTATGCATAAAGAGAGCTTTTCTGATATCATTT